TTATCACGTACTGCAGCTCATTCGGTCTGTCGCTTGCCCATCGTCAGAATACTCGAGCGGTTTCACTTCTCATTTTGATTGCTGATTATGTTACTGATGAGGTTTTACTTTCGACTTTGATCTTTACCGAAACTAGGAGTATCCGTCAGTTCATTTCCAGTCGATTCTTGAGAGTATCTTCAAGAACTGTGTGGAATGGATTGCTGATCCTTGCCAGCAGTTCTCGATAAAGCTTGTTCTTGAGTGGCTTCTTGTGCGCTTGGCATTGCGTCATTCAAAGTCGAAACTAAAATTAATCGAGCAAGAACGCATATTCGCTAACAAAAGAATAGGAAGTGTCTCTTCGTGGATCAACATGATAGTACTGTTATCACGTGCAGAGGTAAGAATATGCATTCCTAATCGCTATATCTTTGTTCGTAGTTAATTTCATTGACATTGCTTGCAGCCGTCGACAACCAAGTATATTGATCTAATTCTGCCATGGAGTACTGCACAGAATTTTGCAGTGAGATGCACGGCCATTGCTGCTCTTCGTCTCCTTTACGGAGCTCTGGGCAGTAAAGATAAAGAGCAATGGCATTTACTCCAACGGATAGTCGACTTTGATGGAGAACCTGCAGGGTATTCTTCGTTGGTTACAAGTATATGTATATCCTTTGGTCCTATCTGCACTAAAATTCTTTTTTATTCGTCTAATTTAGAAAAAACGATAGTATCTGGCAGTAATACTGAATAGTTTAACTCCAAACATGAAACTAGTAGGAGATCGGTTTCTGATATGGAGATAAAGAGCTATTGTGTTTACTCTAACAGATGCATATTGATAGGACACCTACAGTGGATCCCTATGCTTACTTATTCTCAGTCAAAATCATCCTATAACAAAATAGATTGTTAAAGCATTGTGTAGAACAGTTTAGCTGCTGCAGGGATAGCACTGAATATAACAGCTATTTATTTACTAGGAAATGAACTTACCACTTAATCTTATGGGTTCGTCAGTGTGAAGCACATTGAGCTGTGTGCGTTCTCGTAGAATTGAGTAGTCAGTTGCTCGAACAAACCTTTACCAGCTGATCTTAGCTTTTTGAATTGAGCTTGTCTGCTTTAAAAATAGTTGCAACTTGCTATTCATTTTGACAACGCGGGTTTCACTGCTACTGCACAATTTTTCTTTCGAAATGTGATCTCACAAATCGGCTGCACTTTGCAGGAACGCACAACGAATCATCGATAGCTTATTGACCGACTTCTATTTTGGACACTTACATCCCGCCAATAATTTTGACATGCAAACACTCTTTGATGTTCTACCATTGAAGACAGGAATGCCCGCTGAAGAGCGTCTTACAGTTGATCTGCTGCGAGTATGGAATTTATCTTAGAGGCAGTGTCGGGCAAAACTAAGAACGTTGAAGCAGTCCATAAGATAAGGACTTTGAGCCCTCATCAGATAATGATGGCCGATTCTCTGAAAGAGCTTTTCCCAAATGCAGGTGAGTAACTTCGCGGGTGAAAACTGCTCCAGAAGTTTAGGTTAGCCCGCCCACGTTTCCCTCTTCTCTCATTGTAGAAGCAGTCCTCTCCAGCCCGGAAGGCGATTCGTTTTCGGATAGAAAATCGGGAATTTGAAATCGTGCCGCTGCTCTCGCTTCTTCAGTACAAACAGGGCCCAGAATCTGTTTTTTTTTTTCGCCGATCTCACGGTAACTGAGGTTGATGTCTTTGTTTAGTACGACAAAATGGTTCAGAAAAGTCGAAAATCTGCCCGAACACTGCCTTTAAAACATTTTCTTCCAGTAGGATTATAGATCGTAATTTTTGTTTGTTTTGAGAATTTCAACACCTTGCCGATACGAGGTCTGAGCAACGATCAAGATTTCGTATCTGCCCCATCACTCGTTTACTCTGGTATGCATTTAAATAGATGTTCTTTTGACGTGAGATCATTGTTGCAATCTAGGACTTTTGAAAAGCAGTAAATGTGCGCCTGAAATCAACTCCGATGAGCCGGATTCGTATTCTCAAGAAAATGGAGGTGCATATTCAACAACTTAGAAAATGACAGACATTGAATATTGTTTCCTTTGCAACTCATTCATCATTGTGTTTGGCAGAACTCGCATGCAATCTTCAATCATCTTCGTTAAGGGTCAGCATCCGTTCAGCGCAAGATCATTACGAAGCAGAAGAGCAGACGAGAAGACTGCAGTTTGATTGTTGTCGCTTCACTTGTTGACAAGCCGAACAATCTAGGAGGT